CTCACAAGGCAAATGTGTTTGCACAATTATAGACAAAGAAAGAACACTCAAGAATAATATAATTGAGCACAATAAGTGTTCTTGAAAGCAATAATGAATATTGAATGAAATAGGCTTGAAATTGCTCAAACTTAAGGTTTAATGCTTTCTCTTTGATTCTCTCTCAATTCTTGTTTTTGTTGTTGATCAATGGCTCCTAAGCTTGTTTAAATACTCCTTGGATCACTTCTGAATATTGGGGATCATTAGTGGAGTCAATAGAATCGTTATTGTGTGAAAACAATTAAATAAAACAGTTGGGAGCCTGTGTGCATCGATGCATAGGAAGGGTGCATCAGTACACTAAGTGTAAAATTCAAATATTTCGACCGTTGGAAGACATAATGTATCGATACACTAGAGGTGCATCAGTACACTAATTTCATTCGATGTTTCAAAAGAGCCAGGAGTGCATCGTTGTATGGTCTATGTATCGGTACACTAAAATCACTCGATATTTCAAAAATACGCATCGATGCATGGTATATGCATCGGTACATCTAACTCTAAACCCCCAAAAGCAAGCCCGTAACCAAAAATCCCACCCACCACCCTTATTCTCTTCCTGCGCACGTGAAAGAATCGGGAGTTCCAACAAGCCCACCCAAACTTAGGGTGGCATCAACGCATGGGCCGAAGGCCTACAAATTGTTTTCTTGGCTTTTTGGTTTATAAACCATTTCGTTTCTTATTTCCACAGCGATGTGGGATTATGTATTTTTTCCTTGTTTCCACCACGAGCCCTCTGTCCCAGACATCTATCCAGAAGCAAGTGTAGTTCACCGGTTCCACCGAATGCTCCTACGTTGTTTATGTGGTGAGGTAGCTTGGAGGTTAAGTTGAAAAGTAGAGGGTTGTTCCAGTTTCCTCCGGGTAAAGTATTTTGGTTTGATTATCCTGAAAACCGAAAAAAAATTCATGTTCAACTTTTAATTTTGGTTTTCTGCAATGGTTATTACTTCCCGCTTTGCACAGCTGGACAAGTGAAAGGGCGGAATATGCAATGGGTTTTCAAGATAATCAGTTACTGCTGAAGGTCATCGCTTCTTTTTTTCTTTTGCTTCTCTTCTTTAAAATTATCATTTTTCTTTTCTCCATTGTTTTTGGGGTTTATCAAGTAGTTTTTTGATGATGCAATTCTGTGTAGTGTGCAGAGCATAGAGATTTGCCGCCTTTACGAACTCCACAGCTTTTCGTTTCTTTCGTTTGCAAACATCTACTGGAAGAATGAACGCCGCTTGGAGTGTAGTGTGTACCGCTGAGATCTACAGTACTTACGACAGAGATCGTTACGACAAATCTGTAAGTGTTATATAATTCCAGCTTTGATATCTGGTTATGAATTATTGCCAGCCTTTAAGACATTGATCGTTTGTTTATCGAATATATCCGTAGTAAAAATTCTAGGTTCCTCTTACTCTTGTTAATGTCTCAGCTTCATCTTTTACGTTACTGTTATTCTATAATGTGGTTTTCAGTGCATTTCTGTTTTGCATTTTTCTGGCCATATATTCTGATCCCATGGCTTTACCTGCACAATTGACTGAAGAACAGTTTATAGCCATGAAAGAATTGGTACGTTTATGCAAACTCTTGTTTTGATAGACTACTAAGATCCCTTTTTGGTTGCTTTTCTTAATCTCTGCATCGTTCTGGTGACAAGTCAATTCGTACCTGTTATAAAATGCTTGGTTAGGTTGTTAGAAAGGTATGGCTATGCATTTGATTGGATTGACCGGCTTCTTTTCTATGCTTTTGCACCAGTCTCCTATTCATGAATAATGAACCTGAATATTTATGAAATATTCCATTTTAATTGATTATCCTCTGACACTGTATGTAATGTTGTTAAGTAGTATTAATTTCAGTTTTTTTATATGATCCTTGCAGATGCAGCTGTTTCAAGCAGATGGAAGCTTAAGTCAGAAATATCTGTTGATTCGGAACTAATGGATTTGTTGCATAAAGACATGGGTGGAGATGAAAGAATTGCTGTACATCTGTTCTTCCTCACTCTGGCTGCATGTAATACTGTGATCCCAATTGTTTCTCAGGATGCTTCTTCTGGTCATGATAGAAGTGACTCATGGGGAGAGGTGAAAGCTATTGATTATCAGGGTGAATCTCCTGATGAGCAAGAACTAGTTTGGCAAGGACTACAGGTGAGGATGAAGATGAAATCATAGTTTATTTATTTATATGTTACAAGTATCAGCGATATTTATTGTGAGTAGCTTTTTCTGTTGCTTGGTTTGTTTGATTCGGAGGATATCAGGGAAAGAGAGTTTTTGAAAACGATTCTTCATAGGATTTATGGTAAATTCATGGTGCATCGACCCTTCATTAGGAAGGCCATAAATAATATTTTCTATTGGTTTATATATGAAACAGAGAGGCATTATGGGATCGGAGAGCTTTTGGAGATTCTAGGGAGTATTATTAATGGTTTCGCAGTGCCTATGAAAGAGGAACATAAGTTGTTCCTTGTGAGAGAGTTGATTCCTTTGCATAAGTCGAAACATGTTGCCGCCATCATCAGTTGTCTTATTGTATTACACAATTTGTCGAGAAGGACTATAAGCTGGCTGATATAGTTATCGGAGGGTTGTTGAAGTATTGGCCTTTTACTAATTGTCAGAAGGAAGCTCTCTTCCTCGGGGAACTTGAGGAAGTACTTGAAGCAACACAGTCTGCAGAGTTCCAACGATGTATGGTTCCTCTTTTCAGACAGATTGCACGTTGCCTCAATAGCTTACATTTCCAGGTAACTTTTAAGGGGTTTTATTTTATCTTTTGAATACTTCACTTTGTTTGTAAATTCCAATAGTTTGAGTTGTCAATCACCGTTAGGAACCACTGACAATTTGAACTGTCGAATCCTGAATTGTTGCTAGGATGTGATGATAAATCTTATGAACTTCGAGGCCTTTTTCTTTTGAATGCCACTCCGAGTATGCTAATTCCAATAGCTCTAGCAGTCAATCACCTTAAGGAATCAGTTGTATTCTTTTTTTTTTGATATGAATAGTAGGCCTCACTAATAACCCCCTTCATGATTAATGGAACTTGAAAATAGTTCCTTAATCAGCGGAAGGAGGAAAAGAGTGCCCTAGGAATTCATTAACCTGAAGATAAAATCATATGAACATTTAAGAGATTTTGTCTTTTGGATATGTCACTCTGATTAAACTAATTCTAATGGCTTGAGCAGTCAATCATCTTTAGGAACCGCTGGTATTCTGAATTGTGGAATGTTGAACTGTTGCTATGTGCTAGATGTGAAAAATCATATGAAAGCAATTAATTTTGATGCCAAGTTGTGAGCTTATGATATTTCTCCTTTATATATTTATGGTCCTCCTATGTAATTTCTTGTATTTCTGATGCATATACCTTTTTTCTCAGTTCTGATTTGTTTTTGGAAAGTTGTGCTATGTGTTGCCTAATTTTGAGCATTATATTTGCTTCCGGTTTGCTTCATTCTTTCTGTATCCAGAAGAAATAACTGTAGAGTGGGTCAATGCCCAATTCACTAAGCTAGTCTCTACTTTCTGCCACTGTGTAGTTTATCTGTGTTTGTTTGAGTCTGCTGCTGTTTCCTGCTTATATGGTGGTTGAGACTCTATCAAACATCAATTATTTCTTCTTTGTGTAGTGTATTGCATCATTGATTTTCTATAATCGTCCTCTTTGTTTGTAGATAATATTTTGTTTCTATGCGAACAGTTATTGTTCTTATGAATGGGTATATGATGATCCAAAGGTCAACTTGTGGTTGTTTAGAAGTTATTTCTGTTGTTTCATTTTAGATGCGTTCTTTCATTTTATTGTATAGCTTCTCCTCTTGTCATATTTTCACCAAACTGAAATACACTTCCTTCTCAAATGATGTTCATTTTAAGCACATGTGCCCGTTTCGAGATATACTACTTATTGCTTGGTTCCATAGATTGTTGTACAATCCTTCCTCGTAAATTCTAGATATTTTGTCCTCATCATTTCTTTATTATAAATCTTCAGTCTGGTGTTCCTTTATTGATTTATTGCACTGCATCGTTTTGCTTATTCATTTTTCCTTAATATTGTAATTGGTAGGGGGAAAGGAACGAAAAACTACTTTCTGTCCATCTTTTCCTTTGGTAGGAGGGACATCTTAGTTTATTGTTTCAGACTGACTTCTTCTTTCATTAAGCGGTTCCTTGCTTCAACATAAAAACCATAGACCCTTAACTTTGTTGAACTCTCTGTCTCTAATAAAGAACTAAGAAAGAGAAGAAGAATAGAAAATGACGGAGGCTGTGATAAGGAAGAAGCCAGGAATGGCGAGTGTGAAGGACATGCCGATCCTCCAAGATGGGCCTCCTCCGGGTGGGTTGTCCCCGACAGATACGCCCGTCGAATACCCAACAAGGCTCCGAGTGCTATGACTATCTTTCTAGCTGCTTTTGGTGCCTTCTCTTATGGGATGTACCAGGTCGGCCAAGGGAACAAGATCCGCAGGTCCTTGCTTCTCTTCTATATAGAAAAAAATCCTTAAATTTCTCTTTTAATGTTTTCCTTGATTTTCTAATCTGGGTTTTTTTAAAATCATTCCTGATAGAATTTTTGTATAATCTGTTTTTAATGGATTTTTTTTTACTTTGGTATCGTTTTTATGATCTCGTATTGTAGTATTATTCTGCTTTTACCTCATTTTTATTTTGGACTTAGATCTTGTTCTGTTGTTTAACTTTTATATGTGGTTTTTTGTTGGATAGTTTTTTTAAAAAATATTTATTCAAATTACTCTCGGAAATGTGGAGGATTCTACTGATTAGTATATATCCTATTTTGTTCATATTTGCTGGTCCTTTCAAATGGGTTTTAGCATATAACCTATGAATAGGTTGATAGGAGAGGAAAAGGAAAGAAAAAGGCGAGATACAGTGATTTGCTGACAAATCGATTATTTGGTCCTCTCATTGAAACTGCATGATGATTTCATGAGCCTGCCTATATCTGAGTTTAAGAATTGCAGCAGTCTGCCTAAGTAATCTATTAGTTTTCACAAGGCAAAACAATTAGTTCATGATTCCTGGTTCTTTCAAATGGCTTTTAGCATGTAACCTTTGAAGAAACTGGTAGAAGGCGAAAATGATAAGCGGAGTTCAGATGCAACATTTTCCGGAGAATGCTATTATATTGCTCCTGAGTTATGGACCATGCATGGAGACTTCTGATCAAGTGGTTCAGAAAAATGAGGGACTTGAATCTTCAGTTCGTCGACCCAATGATTACGGGCTCTCTATCCTTGGCGGGGAGATGAAGGGTGAAGAATTGGTAATCCATGGTGAGGAGATGAAGGGTGAAGAATTCGAAATCCATGATGAGGAGATGAAGGGTGAAGAATTCGTAATCCATGGCGAGGAGATGAAAGGTAATCCAGGTTGATAACACTCTTCATTTCTGTTTCGTGGGGTTCCATGGAGCTCGTTGCATAACATCAGTAAAGCTTGTACAAGCTTCGATATTTCCAGAGTTCATCCTTGTTATTTAGTTGCTTTACTCCCACCCCCATTTTGTTCAGTAACGAAAGTTACTGTAGTTATTGTTTTTTCCCTCTCTGCTTACAGGAGTTTTGAAAGAAGGGAGCTGTTTTTAATTGAGTATTTAAGGATTTAACTTCCATGGAAATTTTAATGGAAATGGTGGCTGAAGATGATTAAGATTTGGCCTTTTTGATTAATGAGGAAACTGTTGAAAAAACACTAGGAAACGAGTCAATCTCCTTCGTTTTCTGTGAAGTCGAAGCTTAGTTTAGTCTAGAAGCATGGAATGGGGTCTGACAGATTGAATTTCTTTGAATCTGGTTAACATGTCTGGTACATTCACGTTGTAGCAATGACTTGTTACTTTGAATCTGCTTTTGAGCGTTGCTCACATCTGGTTGGAGAATGATAGAATAGATGGAGAAGGTCTACTAATGCTTGAGGCATTGTTAAATAGAGACAAATTAAATATGCTAATAAAACTTTTAGGACCTTCAAGCACATTAATCATTTGTGCATGAGAAGATTAACCTAAACAAACCAAATATCATAAATCCTCTTTTTTTGAGTGTTGTATAGCCTTGTTAATGATTAATAAGTTCATTTCTCAAGCAACACAAAAGGAGAGTGCATCTTTAAAAATTTGGTAGTATATTAATGCTTAAGAGAAGCCTAAAGTAGTAGACTACCTGCATTGCATAGCTATAGCGGAAGGTACAAGCTACCCCAAATGGATTATGATGCCTTGAGGATGAGATGGCTGAGAGATTAAAACTTAAGGATGATATAGAGGTCCTCATGCCTTTGGATTTACCCTTACAATCTTTAACAGCGTGCTAGCTGTTTTTTTTCATTTGTTAGTTGATAACAGTTATATGCTAAGACTTTGCGCTGAATTGAAATGCCATCCTTACATCAATTTAGCTTCTTGCCTCACTACTCGTCCAAAGCACTGTATCGTATGAATGTCTGACAGGGCTTTTATTTATTTATTAAAATGTAGTTTTCTTGCCTTATTAACTTTCAGCATTTGGGTATTACCGTAAATAACTTTTATTTATTTATTTATTTATTTAGCTTCTAGATGGCAGGTGCTTTTTATGTTGTTATCATCATGAACATATTTTCCTGCTTTATTACTGATCCTGGCATTTTCATAATGTGAGATTTATCTGTTTAAATAGGAGGGTCATGATGATGTATATATTGATGGAATACCGATCTTGAATCTCGGTGAAGAAATGGCTAAAAGAGGGATAAATCCTGGTGGTAAGATGTCAGCAGCATCAAAGAAGTAAGCATCTAGACTTCCCAGAAGGCTGTAGCGTTGTCCTATTCCTTATCTCAAGGGATATTACTTTCCTGCTATTTATTCATCTTTTCTGTTTAAGGTTGAAATGAAATAATAAGTTTCCACTTAACCAATATTGTATTTTCTCCAAAATCTTATATCAGACCAATCCCTTTTTCTTTCCTTTATCACCCCTATGGTCTTTTTGCTTAATACTTTTCTTTCTCCTTAGTGTTCTATCATGTTCTCCATTAATACTGACTCTTTATCACTTCGGTGTTTCCTAAGCTATGTTTACTTGAACTTAGGTATGAATCTTGGACACGGATATTGTGTCCAACATGGGTATTTTCCCTTTTTTCCAAGATTTTCATATATTGGGATGCTACTTAGACTATCTTTATTTGAATTCCTTGAATTAGGAGGTTGGGAGTTACCTAGGAGATTTAGTCTAACATTTGAATTCGTTTTCACTGATATTTAATTTCTTATTTGCTTTACTTTGTATCTGAATACTATACCCCCACCTACCAGTCACAACTAGCATCAGTTGAGCAGAGACAAGGCGCTCATGCAGTTTTTCCCAGAAATCGATTCAAAATACGAAGGAATCACATTCTAGAAGATGCTTTTAATCAGATGAGTGCATTGTCTGAAGAAGATTTTAAAGGATTGGTATGCCTTACATAAGTCTTTTGACATATGAAAATTTATCATCTTTAGTAACTTTACTGTTATCTTCCCCAAATTCCCTCTTCATACAGGCCAAAAATGATATAATCAATTTTATTGCTTCCCCACAGATTCGTGTAACATTTGTCAATGAATTTGGATTGGAGGAGGCTGGTATTGATGGTGGTGGAATTTTCAAAGATTTATGGAAAATATTACTCGGGATGCATTTGATGTGCAATATGGGTTATTTAAGGTTGTTAATAATGTTTACTCATTATCTTCTTTCTTTATACATGAGTGGTTTTCTAATAAGCTGATTGGGAACGCACACACACTATTATGGTAAAGATGGCAGTGAATTCTTCCTTCTCTCCTGTTATGTTAGGATTGAAGATGGTATGCTTCAAATTGAACAGGTTGATAGTGAACATTGGTATTCATTTCTTTCTGAACTACGGAAAGATGAAGAATAATCAGATTTTCTTACTCAATAATTTGTTTTTTCTTTTTTTAAATAAAATTATAAGAGTGTTTTTCGCACCTTTTTGAACTAACTTACCCACTTGCCACCATTGCAGTTTGCAGTCTGGTAATGTAGAACCATAGTAGGCTCTCTACAGGCCAAAATAAGATCTGGTAAGAACGAAAACTGTATATAAGAATCTCCCTTCTGATATTCTAGTTAGGTTTTGTTGTACAAAGAAGATCAAACGTCCATTTCAAATCAGCTTTCTGCAATGTTTTCTAACCAGATCTGTGAATTCTAATTTGTATCATGGGAACTTCACTTTAATTAAAGCGTATGCTTGATTTTGGCATGTTCTATAACTAAATGAAAGTTTTTATAGTTTATTTAACTTCTTTAGACTATTTCATAGGAGGTTCAGAGATACCATTGTTGAAGATGGAGGTTCAGAATGTTAGTCCTTGTCCCACACAAATACTATGTATGGAGTTTCATTAACAGTAATACCTGCTTTCCTATGATTAACCTCTGAGAGAGGAATCTGAAAATTGTTGAGTTGATTATTCTCTCTATCTCTCTCTCTCTGATGCCTCCATATCCGTATGAGCTATTCTTCTTTGTTGACATCTATGATCTACCATAGACTACCAATTATAGAATGTTTTCGTATATAGAGCTACAGTTTAATAAGTGTGCACAGACAAATAGAGGTTGTCATTTATGGCTATGGTATGTTTCTCTGTTGATTACACTGGTGCCCGTCTAATGCCTGAAAATACCAATTCTGAATGTAATGACTAATTTATTATAATTTACATTTTTGTTTGTTTATAGGAGGAAGAGATTGGTCATACTGCCCGCCAACCTTTGATCTGAAAGCTAATGGTTCTTGACCTCTGAAAAGATCCCTGAAACCTGGTTTAAATTTGTAGCCATCTTGTTTTTTTCCTAACTAGCATTTTGGCTTCCTTGGCGTCAACATTAACCTCATTTCTCTTTTAATGATTTGTCCGTACTTTAAACTATAAAATAAACAAATAAATAGAGTGTTACGATGTAGGACCTTAATATTTGCTAATGTGGTTTTGTAAGAATATCGTGAATGGTGAAATTTTGGGCCCTTAAATGTATCTTTGCCTTTGGCTCTTCGTGAAATGTTCTAAATTTCTAATTAGTTTGTGATTAGTTGTTTGAAATGGTGTCTTCAAGAAAGAGATAAAAGATCGGTATTGACTAGTGAGTGCATACTAGTATGAAATATGATTTGACGGAAAATTAGACTTCTGATAAGTTTATTTCTGACATTTTGCATATATGATTGTATGAATAGAATATTGATTATGATTGTATTATGTAAGCATGCCTTGTATGCTTTATATATTATGTGATTTTCGTGAATATAAGAGAATAAAACATAAACTATATGATATGAAATAAATAAAGGTGTGCATATATGATATATGTTATGAGATAAGACATATATGAATACATGAGACATGATATGAGATATATGAGAAAAGGTGTATGTGATGATTTAAGTGAACATATGAGACATTATATGACTATGTGATTATTGTGAAAAATAATACAAACATATGTGATAAGATATATAAATGTGAGTCATATGAAAATGTTCTATATGTAAGTGAACCACATGTCAATATTAATATGTGAAATGACATAAGTGATAAAGCCTGTGTTATGTGATAAGAGAGCTAGGAGTATAATTGGCATGCTAAGAGTTGAGGGTTATATGTGGTCATTCGGGACATCTATGTGGTCATTTGAGACATCTATATGGTTATTCAAGACAAATTTTACATGCCCTAGTGGGATCTTATACGAGCTGTGGTGACAGCATATGTGCATAATCTCTATGTATTCACATATCTTTAATTCTCACAAGTGTACTATGGGCAATTAAATGATATATTATAAATAAAATGTATGTGTGGTCGTGTGTTTCTTGGTAGAATGTGTTATATGAATTTTATAAATGATAAGTGTAAGATTATATGATAAATGATATTAATGATAATAATAGTGATAATGATAAGAATATTAGTGAGGAAAATAATGATCTATGTGTATGTATACATTTTGCTATATGAAATATAATGATGGATCATATGTGATATGATAGTATGCGATGTTCATGCATTGTTAGTAGTGAAAGTTTATATTATGTTTTATCTGCCTCACTAAGTCATAAACTTAGTGTGTGAGTGTTTCACACGTAGGTTTCGTGAAGCAAGAAGATAAGCAAAGAGGAGCAAGACAGATCAATCTCTCTTTTCCGAAGTTCATATCAGAAAAGAGTTTTGAATCATATGTATTTTTGTTATATTAAATATAGTTGACATGTACTAAGAGATTTAAGTTGAACATACTCTGATAAATTTTGTAAACCTTTTGATTGAAATTTGTATAAATTATGCACTTTAATTTGATAAAAGTTAGATTTTTTCATTTTTTTTGTAAAAGTAAATGTTTTGAAAGTCAATGTGACACCTTGGACTCGTATCCGGGTCGGGTACGGATTGGGGGTGTTACACGGTATCTTCCGGATTGGCTTCAACATCTAACAAAACTGAAAGAACTCCATCTCACTGATTTGAGCAATTTAACATCGCTTCCGGACGAGCTTCATTGCCTAACCAATTTGGAAAAGTTATGGGTTAAATAAGATTTTGTTTCATTATAAAATCAAGTAGTTCGCTTGGCCTGGTGGCAAGAGGCATACCATTTCATGCCCTTGCCCTATGTTCAAGTCCTCTTCCACTTAAAATGAGTTTTTCTTCATTCCTCTAAATCCACACTAATAGGAGAGTGACATGTGTCGCTCTTTCATTGGGTTAAAAATTTCTAAAAGTTAAAAAAACATGACGTGTCAATTCCATGTCAGCATACTTTAGTGATGTGGACACGCCACATCATCATTTGTGTCCACATGTGCTTTCTTAGTCAGCTGGAGGTATTGAATGTCGGTTGACTAACGGTTTTCATCAAACGGGGGTGACTTTTGAATCAAAATAAAAAGTTATGGGGTCAAATGTTCCAAAAAAATAATAAGGTCAAATTTGCATATAATGTCAAACGTTAGGGGTATTTGTTTGCATTATGTCTGTTATTTACATATTCTCTCAATTTAGTCATACTTTTAATAAATTAAAATAAGTTTAATTTTCCAATCGAATGATGCCACATGGCACCATTCGGTTGGAGGACTAACTTTATTTTAATTTGATATATTTATTTCCACCAATCAAAGAGTGACATGTGTCACCATCTAGTTGAAAGAAAACAAAGGAAAGCAAATAGGGGCAAAAAAGATTCAAACCCTGGTCACTTAGGAAATTAAACATATATCTAACCATTAAGCGAAGACCATTATTTGGTTTAAAGTAGACCACATGGTGTATACATTTTATATCTTAGTGTATAGATTATTTAAGTCATGATATTTTATATATTAACTTTAAAATAATTTATATTAACTTATTAAATATAATTTATTATTAACTTATTTTTAAAAATATTTATATTTTCATTTAAAAATATATTTTATGTTAAAATATATTCAAAAAAATGTGATTAAATTGAAAGAATATGTAAATAACAATGACTAAATGTATAATTATATCAATTATCACATCACATATTCTGTTAATTGTTAATGAAAGTTAACCCTTGATGGTCACGTCTTAATTAAATAAAAAATAAAGTAACTAGATTTTAATTAAATAAAACGAAAGTGATCATATCTTATATTTTTTTAAATCAGTGACCAAAAGTGGACAAAATATAAATATTGGGATCACATGTGAAGTTAACCCAAATAGTAAAATCCACTGAAAACCAAATTTAATGGAGTGATTATGAGGTGAGGAAGAGAAGACGACTTCGCCACAAAGTTTGTCTAACAAAATTAATCATATAATTAAAATACTCTGATTTGTTGTTAGTATTAATTAATTAAAATTGATTGTTTCAAATACTCTCTCCGACATTTTATATTCTTCGTATTACTACTCTCCATTTCAAACACAAACTACTTCCTCTTTCTAGGGTTTCGAAGGGAAAACTTTCAGAGAACCCCAGAGGGCACCCTACCCTAACACTAATTGCAGGGTTCTTGCAGCTCTCACAACAAGTTTATTGGGCTTATTTGATTCACGTGATTCAATTTTGTTTTTCCGGGGAACAAATAAAAGACAGGAAATCATTTTATTTTAGCGGATTCGGCAACGTTGTGGATCTTCATTTTGATGCAATTTCTATGTTGATTTCACGTTTCTGGTGAGTTTCAACCTTTTTTTTAAAAAAAAATCTTTTTCGATTTTCTCTTTCTCCTCGTCGACCGTTTTGCTTTTGCTGGCGAAAGGGTTGCATTTGCTTGCGTATAATTTTGTTGGTTCGGGTTTTTCCAATTGTTTATTTACTTCGCTCACTTGCTATACAATTTATAGTTTAAGAATACAACGCAAAATAAGAAACACGAAAAGTGAGGTAGAGTGTGAGAGGAAAGAGCAAGAGATGTTAGGTAGATTTGCTCTTATTTTGACCAATTTATTTCTAGGAGAGAGCTATCCGTTTTTTTTTTTTATGATTTAGCATCTATCGATTAGAGAAATTTCTTCCTAACAATAGAATTATTTATTATTTATATTCTTATTTTCATCTTGCTTACCTTTTCAAATAGGGTTTTAGTTCATGGTGTTTGGTAAATGCTGAATGATTGCTAGTATGGACTTAAATGCTTCGCCAGTACCTGAAGATGATGAAGAGACATATGAAAGCCATATAGAACGTTACTCTGCACTAGAAGAACATGTAGAATCTGGAGTTGAAATTTCACGACGGGTACTTCTCAACATTGCTCTTGGCTTTCTTCGGTTTGATTTTTCCTTCCTTCTATAGAATGCATTTTAGTTGCTTTTGACATCTATTATCCATTGGAAATTGTTCCGGCCTTTTAGTTATTTTTTTTAATTCTGGTAAACGTTTATCTGGACAGTCTCAGAATGAGTAATTTCTGGCATTGAGGGAGAGCTTGAGGTAGTGCTGTAGATGAAACTAATATTTTTGGTTTCATGTGCATTTGATGTTGAGGTTGTTTGGGTTAATGTAGTTGGTTCGGGGGTAGTAGCTCTACTTATTGTCTGCGTAAAGTGGGGTGGTTTAAACAAAACATGGTGGCTTGTATATCCATTATACCTGAAATTAATTTCTCTTGCAAAGGATTTGTGTGGATGTTTGTGTTCATAATTTTGAATATTATTTGACATTCATGTCGGATTCCTCTTTCTTTTTCCATCTTATGCCCTTTTGTGTTTCCTGTCTACATCAAGCACATTGTACTGTGTTGGTTTTGTTTTACACTTCAAAAGGGTTGCTTTAATCTTCATATTCTTGCCACTGTTTATTCATGCATGATAATGGAATTTGACACTTTTAGGAACGTGAAGAAAGACGAAAGAGACTGAAAAGAGACCGATCAGATGACCGTCCAGTGCATGTCTCCCAGCCCCCTGTACATGATGAATTTTATCAAAATAGGAATTCCAGGTCTTATGATAAAAGTAGGCTCCCTCCTGGTAAGATCCCTGACATTGAACAATATTGCTAACTATTTTTGGTGTTACTGTCAATCTATTTTTAATAACCTTGGTGTTCCATTGCCAAATATTGTATAGTGTGTTTAAGGTTTGTGTTATGTATTTTTTAATAATCGGTTAATAGTTAATGAAAATGAAGGTTTTATGTGTCTGCAGACTGCAATAATCAAAATGGTTTCTATAACTTTAATAATCATATAAGAATTCTGTAAATTCAATGCTTGAAGTTGATGGCATAAATGATTTTGTCAGCTTTTCAGAGTGTATTTTGGCAATTGGCATTGGTATCATGACAAGAGTGAACAGATTATTTTTTAAATGTTATTTGTTAGTCGTTTCATTTTTGTGCTTAAGTTGATGACTCGATTGATTTATTAACATTTTAAAATTTAAATTTAAGTTGTTGTTTAAGACATTGCAGCTCTTTTTATCCTTTCTATTCTTTGGGCAGGTTGGCTGGATTGTCCATCAGCTGGTCAGGAAATAGGCTTTATTATTCCTTCTAAGGTTCCTCTTGGTGAGGCTTATAATGACTGTATTCCTCCTGGTAAAAGATACTCTTTTAAACAAGTGATTCATCAGCAAAGAGTTTTAGGAAGAAAGGTATATAGACAATGTTAATACCCTTTTAATTATCCCATGAAATGCAAAGAGGGTCTTTTTTATCATCATATCTATCATATAAATGGCATGCAAATTTTTCTTTTATGAAGGAGTCTGGGAATCCTTGAAACTGCTGGGTCGTATTAACTAGAGATTGAAAATGCATATAGGGACTAAGGTGGTTATATAAAGTTAGTTAGTGAACATGCTCGTACCATTCATGATTTGCAAAACTATTTGTTCTAAAGATGTGCAACAATTCTTTCGGGCTTGTCACACAAATTAGTTGGACATAAGTTTCTGTTGGATAAGAGATGTGCAGTGAGATTGTTAATAATAATAATTTTTATCTTGCCTGCAATATTTTGTTTTCAGCTTGGTTTGGTGATTGATTTAACAAACACATCGCGTTACTATCAAACTACAGACCTGAAGAGAGAAGGCATTAAGCATGTAAAGGTGAGCATAGGTGTCATATAGTTTACTGTTTCTCTTGTTGCTTGCATCTTTGCTTTAATTTTTGGCTTTTGTTCTAGATCCAATGCAGGGGAAGAGATGCTGTGCCTGAGAATGTGGCTGTAAATACCTTTGTTTACGAGGTACTTCTACTATGATTCTTGGTTATCATTTCTACTAGAATGTCTGCTGTTACCTCTTCTTAAATGTGATTCCTGTTAATAGTTGTGGCTGATATTATATGTTTCCTTATCATCATGACTCTATTGTCACCCCACTTCTGATTGAACTTGTACATTGTTGATTTACATATATCTTTCAGGTTCCAAATATCTCGAGTTACTTATTCTTAATGTGCTGTAACCAATTAATGGATTTTCCATGTAATTTGTTTATTAGGTGTCACAGTTTCTTCTACGTCAAAAATCGAAGAAATATATTCTTGTTCACTGTACACATGGGCATAACCGCACTGGATACATGGTTATTCACTATCTCATGCGATTACAATCAATGTCTGTTACTCAGGTTAGTTATTCTTTGTTGAACTCGTCTTACAAAAAACCATTTAGGTATTCATAATGCAGCAATGTATTTTGTCTTAACTTTTATGCAGGCAATAAAAATTTTCTCTGAGGCACGCCCTCCAGGAATCTACAAACCTGACTATATTGATGCTCTGTATGCATTTTATCATGAAAGAAGGCCTGAAATGGTTGTATGCCCTCCGACACCTGAGTGGAAGAGGTCTTCTGACCTTGATCTCAATGGTGATGCAGTCGCGGATGATGATGATGATGATGGAGGTCCAGCCGCATTACCTGTACGAATGACCTTGCAGTATTGTTCATTTTTCCTCTTTTTTGGGATGTATTAACTTCCATAAGGGCATTAAAATAAGAACGTTGACGTCAACAAAAGCTTTTTATATCCTTTACTTCTCTTCCATATGAAAAAAAGGCTAGATTTCTGGAACAAGTATTTTATTTAGATTTCAGCTTTAATAAGTCTTTTCTCGTATCAGGAGAATCATGAAACTGATTTAGCGTTGACAAATGATGACATTTTGGGAGATGAAGTACCTCGTGATCAGCTGGAATCAATGCGATCATTTTGCTACCAAACATTGAAGTTAAATGTTGGGGTATGCACTTTAAATCGGTTCTTTTTTATGGTATCTATCCACTTATTCATGTTATCAAGACGATGAGATTTGGGGAAAAGTTCATCAAACTTGTGACAGACAACATTATAGCTTTTCAATCCACTTTCTTTTATCGCTTCTTTACTTTTTATGTGATAATTTTCTAGAGGAAAATTAGGTGACGAGTTAGTAGTAGGATTTGTCGCTTTGAATATGGTAGAATGACTTGTAATGATAATATTTAAATTTTAAGCATATTTTCTCTTAATGATAACATTAAGGCTTTGCTTGTTATTTTGAGTGGAAAGGAATAGGGACCGAAAATTTGTTAATCAAATGGTCAAGGTTCATAAACATTTTCTTTATAATGTAACCATTAGGTTAAAAAATTTCCCACCCTCACTCATTTCCATCCTTCATAATAAAGTATATCCTAAGAGAACTTATCCCCTCTATAAAGTCAAAAACTGTTGAAAACTTGAATACCTCTTTTTCAGTTAATTCTTTGTCCTCTTTTTCAGTTAATTCTTTGTCTTGTGTTTCATTCATTATGGTTTTGGTTTAACATGAGCTCTGGCATGCCCTTTTCTTGAAAGCAGTGTAGAGGACATTCACAATTTCCTGGATCACATCCAGTTTCACTGAACAGGTTCCTTTATATGTTAATTTCTTTCTATCCTTTGGGATGAAGTGAATGTTGAGTTAGTCCTACTTACTGTTTTTTTCATTTGGCCTGGAATCTTTATACTAAAAACGAGTTTCTATTTTTGTGTTTTCAGGGACAATCTACAACTTTTAAGGCAACGTTATTATTATGCCACTTGGAAAGCTGATGGAACACGATATATGATGTTAATAACTGTTGATGGTTGTTATTTAATTGATAGGAGTTTTAGTTTCCGAAGGCTTCAGATGAGGTTTCCATGCAGACACCCAAATGAAGTATGTATTTGCTTATCTGTTATTTTAAGGAAAACTCTGGACATTTAGTGTCACATATGTCTTATTAATTTGACATAATTTTCAACTTGTAAGGTTATAGGGGACAGAACTCATCATTTCACATTGCTTGATGGGGAAATGGTAATAGATACCTTACCAGACTCACAAAGGCAAGAGAGAAGATATCTCATCTACGATATGATGGCAATTAATGGCATTTCCATCGTAGAGGTTGGTTCTGCTTATTTGTAACAATTTTTCCTCTTCATTTTATTATAATTTTTTCATTGTAATTGTATTATGAAACTGATGATAATTAAGTTGAAATTTTTCCATATAGTTATTTAAACTTACTTTAGGCTTCTAGAGACAAGATTCTAAACATTTTTAGTCAGACTTCTCCGATGTGCATTGTCTTAATTTTGATTTATGTTTTGATTTACCTAACCAAATTTCCAAAAACCATTATTTGATTAGAAGCTGTCATTCATTTGGGGTTATGGAAGATAACAATTACATTACTTAGTTGCTATGAAGTAAAATTTGTCAACGGAGCTTTTGTTGGTTTTCCTTATTGATTCCTATTGTTCATTTTCTTATGGAATTCAACTGTGGAGCCATTAATATAAGAGTATATTGAAATTGAGAGGCAAATGCCTCTTAATTTTCAGAGTCGTGTTATTTTCTCTTATGAAAATCTGGTGCAGCGACCTTTCTATGAACGGTGGAAAATGCTGGAAAAAGAAGTTATTGAGCCTCGAAATTATGAGCGGCAGAACATTTACCAGAGCAGGAATCCTTATTATCGATATGACCTTGAACCCTTCAGGGTATGTATTGAGGAGAAACAATGCTTAATATATTGATTTATTTCCCATCTGTGAGATAGGCTTAAGCTTAATTTTGTTATCAGGTTCGGAGGAAGGATTTTTGGCTGCTGTCCACCGTAAATAAGGTTTTGAAGGAATTTATCCCCAGGCTCTCTCATGAGGCAGATGGTCTTATTTTTCAGGTGATTGAAGAGGATATCAGATTATGGATCTCAAACCTTTCAGACTTGTTTATTTCACTAATTTTCTTGTTTTGTAAATGATCTTTTGATCTGTTTCAGTACTTCAGAAAACAAGCTTATTTTCTCTGGTTTCACACTATACATCCTTCTGATTCACGGATCTTTACTTTTGAGGTTGTGGCACTTCTTACATACGCTATGTTATGAAAAATTATTATTATTTTCCAGGGTTGGGATGATCCCTATGTACCTCGCACTCATGAAGGTCTTCTGAAGTGGAAATATGCTCGGATGAACTCTGTTGACTTTCTATTTGAGGTTGTCTCAATTTTCTTTGATCGTTTGTTCTCTTTTCCTTTAAAAAAACTTTTGACATTGATCCTAAACTGAAACCTTTATGCTTTGACAGATTGGCAGTGATGATCGCCAACAACTTTTTCTCTATGAACGGGGAAAAAAGAAGTTGATGGAAAGGGATACAGTTGAATTCAGAGGTTGCTGTTAAATGTGTTTATTCTTTTTCTGCTTCATTTGAAATATTAGCATAGATTCTGATTCCCCCCCCCCTTCCTGAATTACTTGCAGATGTTTCTGATCCTCTGTCTTCTTTCAATGGGAAGATTATAGAGTGTTCTTGGGATCCTGATCAACAGATGTGGGTCTATATGCGGATCAGGACAGATAAGTCGACTCCAAACGATTTCAATACTTTCAAGAAGGTTGGTCTGTCTGTCTCTCTCTCATTGCTAAGTAGAGAAATAGTTTTCGAAATGTTGTTGCAGTGCTAACTGCAGTAAGATGTTTGTTTATGCAAAGAACAGGTAATGCGAAGTATAAGGGATAATATCACAGACGAAATCTTATTGAATGAGATTAATGAGATAATTCGATTGCCCATGTATGCCGATAGAATAAGATTGGACAGCAAGGCTTCAGCACGACGCAAGTGATGGTCGGTTGTGCTGTTGACTGGGTGTGCTGTGGTTGTTTATGTTAGTGAGTTGGGCGCATAATGGGGCAGTAATATTGACGGTGATGCATCAGGTGGGTGGCTTTGATATGATGTATTGTAACGAAAATCTGTGCTAAGTGATCCAGGCAGTGGAAGAATAGTTGAATAGTTACGCGAGGCTGAGTGTTGAGTTGAGGATTTTTTTTTTTTTTTTTTTTTTTTTTTTTATAGTTGGCCAGATGATTTAGCATTGCAGTTTGCATGCATTTAGGGTTAACCAATGTATATTATTGTTTATTGTTTTATTTTAATATTTTTCTTCCTTGCCTAGTTGTAGTGGGTCTCGTGATCATTTCAATTAAATTATGTTTGGAAAATCTTTCATCTTTGTGCGCCAAAATGTTTACAAAGGGATTCATCTAAATACAAGCTTGGGGTTTAAAACTATACAGAACTTGATCTTGGCCAGGTGGAGAGATGGGAGCAAGTGATGATTGTAGCACTGAAAATAAAAGGCCAAGCGGGTTCCAATGTTGAGATAAAATCATGGCAGAGCATTATTCATTGGCCGTTGGCCCCTCTAAACTTGTAAATACTAAAAAGAATCAAGGGATGGGTGAAAAGGAAGCTGAGGCTCATCTCTGCGTTTCCACCTCAAAATCATTTCGACTGAAGATTTTCATGCAGTAGTGAAGTAGTATATATAGTAGGGGCATAGGCTCTTTATTTGATTACAAATTTCAGTGTAGAATAGGTTTCGTTGACCTTCTAATAGCCACACCAAATAATAAATGACAGGCTTAATTGTAATAATAAAGAGCTACTCTACTGGATCATACCGTATGCTTTGAAAACCTATTCTACTAATAGTACATGATATTGGCAGTCCAAGCCCTAAGATGCCGGTAGTAAGTTTATGCTCTTCCTTTAAACATGGGGCAATCAACCACATATGGTTAACAATCTCTGAATTCATTTTGACCCACCATTACCAATGTATATCCTGGCTCACTTGAACACGATTGGAAGCATTGACCAATGACATGCGGATACTAGCCTCAAGGAAGCTTTCGAGCTCCGCATGAACACACCATGACTATGAAGCCATATTTTCCAATATATTATACCAAACAGAATGTACCCATCCTCAGTATTGTCCCTTCTGGGTTAGATAAACTGGTGGTAACCCACTCCAACAGGTTAAGGCTTCTAAGAACGTACCAGATTCTCTGGTCAAATGTTCTGCCAGACATGAATATGATTCGCATCTTCCTCATACCAAGTGTAATACCCTAATTTTGTACTAAAGTTAAAATGGGAACAAAATGTAAGGACCAAACTTGCAATTGTACCTTTTTTAATTTTTAGGATTTAAATGCCAAAAAGCAATCAGTGTAACAGGACCCCTTTTTTTTCTTGTAAACCAGAAAGAAAAGAAAAATCAAAGATCTCTCCTTCACGTTTTGTTATATACTTTATTATTATTATTAGGGTAAACTACTTCAGTGGTCACTAATATTTGGGTAAATTTTTGTTTTCACCACTGATATTTCAAAAGTTACAAATCGGTCACTACCGTTATCGTTTGTTACAAATTGGTCACTCGCCGCTAACAGGCGTGACGAAAAACAAATGTGGCCTGTTAACAGCAGTTAACCTGCTTACCTGGATGGTATAATTACACAAATAGTCCATGTTATTTATATATTCTTTCAATTTGATCATAGTTTTAATAAATTAAAATATATTTATTTTTAATTCTTATAAATAATGATATATTTTTCAAAAAATGAATTCAAAAATTTAAAATTAGTTATAAAAACAAAAAATTAACGTCTTAGTTGTGTGCATTATTCTTTCAATTTGGTACTCTAGTTCCTTTAATTTTTTGTGAACGACCGTCCCGTTCATTATTCTTTGGTTATGCAGTTTGTTGCTTCTGAATCTGTTTTAGTTATTCAAAAGTTTGGTACTCGAGCTCATTAACCGGTCTTCCTGCTCTCTTTTCCTTGGATAAAAGGCATTTTGCGCAATGTGTTTGATTCCAACTCTGGTGTATGTTTCTTTTGGAAGTTCGAATTACCTTCCTATGTGTTTCTACCATTTTAGCAAATAGATTCCTTGACAAAGAGGTATTAGAATTTGGTCAATATCATTAGCGCTTTCTGTTTGTATTTGTTACTTTAAACGACACCACTTTTGTTGGAAAATAAACTAGCAAACAAGTAATTTCCCTATAACCATATTAGTAAGAATGCGAAATAAAAGAGGAAAAATAATACCCGAAATTGATAACGGAGTTCAACCAATTATGCCTACGTCTCCGGACTGTTGCAGATCTTTTACTAAGAGAAAAAATTTACAGGTGTTTACAAAACACTCACTACTCACAAGAAAGCTCTCTAGTATTGGGAGAAAGAAATGATTTGGGATGATTTTGAAGCTAAATGGGCTAGGGTATTTATAGTTGAAGCTTAAGGACTAATCTTGTAAATACCATAAAGTGTGTAGGGACTAAAATGCATTTTCCCCATTTTTATTTTTAACACAAAATCTATTTGGTGCTAACCTTTGAATAATTCACCGCCATTATTGAAATCATGCATCGCCTATTATTGACTATATGCATTTTAGGCGATGCCCACTTCCCCATCTTTTTTACTTTACAATCTCCCACTTGAAGACTAGTTTTAATCTATCTTCACACCTCGATCGATGCAGCAACATTTTTGTCTTGTTACTCTAGCATGCTAACTGAAGCTGAACACAAATTCAGTTTGACCGTAGTCACTGTCTTTGTTAACATGTCTGCCGGATTTTGAGCTTCACTAATCTTTTCAAGTTTCAAAATCCCATCTTCCAGAAGAGATCGGATATAATGATATCGCAATTGTATGTGCTTCGTCCTGGAATGAAAAGCCGGATTCTTTGCTAGAAGGATAACACTTTGACTGTCGCAATACAAGACATTGCTTTCTTGTTTCTTGCCTAACTCTTCCAAGAAACTTTGGAGCCAAACCATCTCCTTGTTGGCTTCCGTAACACGACATATTATGCTTCAGTTGTGGAGAGAGCAACTCTTTTGTAGTTGAGAAACCCAACTCACTGCAGTACCTCATAGAGTATAGACATACCCTGTAGTGCTTCTTCTGATGCTAACATTTCCGGCTAAGTCAGCATCTACATAGCCTATCAATATCGTATCTCCACCTTTGAAACAAAGTGCTTTGTTTGTGGTACCCCGCAGATATATGAGGATCCATTTGATTACTTCCTAGTGTACCTTGCCCGGATTATTCAAGTACCTGCTAACAGCTCCCACTGCATGAGCAATATCTGGTCTAGTACAAACCATGGCATACATCAGACTTCCAATTGCTGAGGCATACGACACTTTCACAATGTATGCACGTTCTTCCTCTGTCTTTGGTGACTGTTCTTTGGAGAGTTTAAAATGAACACCTAAAGGTGTACTTACTGGTTTAGCATCTTGCATGTTAAACCTAGAGAGTACTTTGTTGATGTACTCAACATGTGATAAATGCAAAGTCCCCGACTTTGTGTCTCTTAATTCTCATCCCAAGAATCTGCTTTGCAGCGCCCAGATCTTTCATTGCAAACTGCTTCGACAATTTTTGCTTCAAGTTTATAATCTCTTATATGTCTGAGTCTACAACGAGCATGTCATCAACGTTGTTGAAAACATTTTGATATTTCGATATAACAAATTAAGTTAAATGAATTTTAAGATTTTCCAAATGATTTTCTAAGTATATTCGATAGAATTATTCGAATATCAAAACATTACTCCAAATCTTTCAAAGATCATTTTTAATCCTTACTCAAAATGTAAAATTAAATTTTAATCTTAAAACAATTTCAAAATAATTTTACAAAGTATTTCGAACCATTTCAAAAGCCAAAAATTCCAGATTGCTCAGAGGGAACCGATTCCCCCCCAAGGGGGTATCGATTCCCCCTGAATGGTTTGGCTCCGAGAATTCCAGTATGCTCGGAGAGAATCGATTCCCCCCCAGGGGGTACCGATTCCCCCTTGTATAACGGTCGAAATATTTGAATTTACACTTAGGGAACCGATTCCCCATAGGGGGTACCGATTCCCCCCACGCTCCAAACTGTTTTATTAATTGTTTTCACACTAAAACGGCTATATTATTTTCTCTAATTATCCCCAACGTTCAGAAGTGATTCAAGGTGTATTTAAGCAAGCTTAGAAGGCATTGATCAACAACAAGAAACATCAAGCAATTAGAATCAAGAGAGAATCAAAGAGAAAGCATCAAACCTCAAGTTTGAGCATTTCAAGCCTATTTTTCATTCAATATTCATTTTGCTTTCAAGAACACTTATTGTGCTCAATTGTATTTATTCTTGAGTGTTCTTTCTTTGTTCTAGAATTGTGCAAACATATTTGCCTTGTGAGGTTTTTCTTGTAATTTTGCAAATTTGTATTTCTCTTTGAAAAAAGAGTGTTCTCAAGAATTGGGGTATATTCTTGAGGGAGTTGTAAGGTTATCTCTTTGGCCTCAAAATAAAGAACAAATTAGTGAATTTGTTGGAAAATTCTTAGTGTGGATAGCTAAGGTAGTGGACGTAAACTTTGGTTGATAAAGTCGAACCACTCTAAATCGCTGTGCAATTTCTTTCAATTTTCTGCAAAAGCTTCCACCGAATTTTTTAATTGCCAATTCACCCCCCTCTTGGCCATATTCATCAATCGATTAACTCAACAATTGGTATCAGAGCCTAACTCATTTGAAGGTTTAATCGCCTCTTGAGTCGATTCGGGAAGAGTTATATCGATAATCAAAGTCATCAATGGCCTCCGCTTCAAACTTCGACTCCGGTCTCGATTCGATGCCCGTCAACAAGCCTCCTTTCTTCAATGGAGCTAACCATGCCTATTGGAAGAATAGAATGATGTACTTCATTCAAGCAAGTGACATGAGAGCATGGAATGTTGTAGAAGAAGGATACATCAAACCTCTCACTCATCCAAGGTTGTGGAGTGAAGGAGAGACAAGAATGTTCCAGCTCAACTCCAAAGCCATCCATATCATTTTTTTGTGCTCTTGGACCAGATGAATACGGAAGAGTTTCATCGTGTACAACCGCCAAAGAAATATGGGACAAACTTCAAGTCACTCATGAAGGTACCGATGAGGTAAAGAAATCTAAAATTAGTATTCTAACGCATAGCTATGAAAATTTCAGGATGAAACCAAATGAAGATATCAAAGCTATGACGGATAGATTTTCAACGATTGTCAATGGTCTCAAATCATATGGAGAGATCATTTCAAATGAAAAGCTTGTGAGGAAGTTAGTCTACTCCCTCCCAAAATCGTGGCAATCAAAGAAGA